TTTTTTTTGTATCACCAACCCCCTTTAGTAGTTCTGTGAAAGCTATGGCCCTCTTCTCAAAATGTGTTTAAATGCATAAAATAAAACAAATAGGATTACAATGAAAACCCATTTTATATATAGTTTTCTACCTATCAATAGACATAGATGCCAGAGGCAGATATAGATATAGATGATATAGCTATGGATAGATAAAGAAATTCATGTAAGATATATAAGATCTTCTGGTCTAAAACTTAGGGTATCATTTGGAAATACTGACATGAACATCATAGGACTTCCAAGGTATCTAAAGGGTAGAGCACTAGATTTAGAGTCAAGAGACCTAGCTAGTCAATCACATAATTACTAGCCGTGTGATGAGGACCAACTTATTTAACCTTTTAGAATTTTAGCTTCCTTATCTGTAAAATGGAGATAAATAATAATTATATTACCTAACTTACAGGGAGGTGGTAAGGAAAGCATTATATCATTGTTGTCAGAAATAAAGTGGAACTTTGTGACAGCCATCTAGTCACAGAAACATAGGATGTCAGTGCTCAATTTCTTCATTTTACATATGGGAAAATCTAGATCAGGGAGGGGAACTGATTTAACCAAAGTCATAGAGTTATACAGCAACAAAATTGGAGGTAGAATACAGGTTTTTGGACTTTCAGACAGTGCTCTTGATAGGACATGTTGATTCACTATTGAACTACTTAATATCTTAGCTATGAGCCAATTTGGAGGGGGGGGGGATTTGGGGGGGAAGGCAATTGGAGTTAAGTGACTTGCTCAGGGTCACACAGCTGGGAAGTGTCTGAGGTTGTATTTGAACTCAGGTCTTCTTGACTCCAGGGCCAGTGTTCTATCAACTGTGCCACCTAGCTACCCCATATTGATTCACTATTAAGAGGTGTCATGGCTTAGTGTATAGAGAGTTAGCCATCAAGGCAAGAAAGTCTGGGTCCAAGTTCTAGTTCTCACATATAGGGGCTGTGCGACTCTTGAAAAGTCACTGAACCACAGTGTCCTAGCCATTGCAGAGAATGCACCTACCTACATTGGTAGATGAACTTTCTTTACCTGGGAGTTCCCCACGCCAATATAATCACAAGTATTCTCTCTATCTGAATGAAACACTTACATGTACGGCAAATAAATGTTACAACACCTATTCATATACAAACATACAATATATATAAATCTTGGCCCTCCAGAAGGGCCCTGAAAGCAGATAGAGTAGAATCAGCACAGAATCACAGAATGGTTAGAACTGAAATCTTAGAGAGCATCTAGTGCAACCCTCTCATTTTATAGACAAAGAAACCAAAGCTCAGAAAACAATAATGACTTGTGTAAGGTCACACAGCTAGTCAGAGCCAGAGCATACACTAGATCCACTGATTCTCAGTCCAGTGGACTTTATCCTAAGCTATGTCCTGTTTTCTTATCTTGGCTTGCTCACCCTCATAAATTACTCTTCTCTTTGGTCAATAACCAGTCCATGTTTTGCTCCAAGTAGAAGCAATGTAGTACAATGGAAAGAACATTGGATTTAATCATAAGACCTAAGTTCAAATCTCAGCCCTGCTACTTATTCATTGTGGGACCTTGGCTGAGTCAACCCTCTGGGCCTCAGCTTTCTTGTCTGCAAAAAATGAACTAAATGATCTCTAAGGTCATCTAGCCCTAGATCCCAATATCACCAGGTTTTGCTTTTTGAGGCATGCCATAGAATCATACAGAGAATATCTTAAGTTGGAATGGGCATCAAAATCCACACCAGGGCAGAAATATTCCCTCCTACCTCCCAGATAAGAAATCACCTGTCCTTCTTCTTGGAGATCTCCAGTTCTGGGAGACCCATTATCTCCTGAGGAAGCCCATTCTAACTTGTGTCCTCACAACACACCTGTCACAAAAAGAGCTTATAATATTTCCTTTTGCTTCCATCCCCCTCTTATCTAGAAAGGCAGACACATAGAGAGGGGACAGAATGCTCTGTGTGTGCACGTGTGTGTGTGTGTGTGTATGTGTGTGCGTGCGCGCACGCGCACATGCACTTGCATGTGTATTGGAGGGAAGAGCTTCTGTGGAGGAGAGAGAAGGTGATCATAAACTCAGGTTCCCAGAATTCCAGCCATTGTTCTCTATCTTAATTGAGTATACAATCTTGCATCTATTATATTTATTTTTTAGCTGACCCTCATAGAGGTAAGAGGCATACCTAGATCTGGTTCCAGGTTGGGTACCATATGTAGATACTTTGCTTCCATATGAAAGAGTATAACAATTTCTTCTCATCAAGAGGATTTGTTTTAAATACACACAAGAGAAACTGTGAGAGGAAAAATATCATTGGGAAAGCTTAATTACACCCAACAATTGACACCACCCTTTAAGTTTCTTTTTAACTCTGGGTTCATCTCTTTGGGTTCAGGCCCTCAGCCCTTCCAAACTACAAAGGTTACATGTTACCTTATTTAATCCTCACACCAAAGCTGATAAGTAGATGCTATTTCATTCCTATTTTAAAGATGAGGAAACTGAGGCTGAGGAAATTAAATGCCTTGTCCAGGGTCATACAATTAGTAAGTGTCTGAGACAAGATTCAAACTTAGGTCTTCTTGGCTCCAAATCCAACACTTAGCTACTTGTAAAATGATAGGAAAATGGGAAAGTGAACTCTGTGGTCTCTGAGGTCCCATCCAGCTCTAACATAAAGAGGCCACAACTATCAAAGTGGAGCTCATTTTCCTTTAAGCAACCTTACATTTTGAGGACCTGCAAGGGAGTTACCCCACTCATTTGTTGGAGAAAAGTGTATGCTAGATTTATCAATTAAGAAACCCTTTCTTCCAGGAAGTTCTTCCTCTTATTTACATTCAGTCCTTCATGGTATGGATCATGACATTGGTTTGTATTGTTCAGTTTTCAGTGGAGATGAGAACATTTGGTTATTCATTTTCTGGCATCAACAAACAGTTGAAAATTCCTATGTAAGTCATAAGACAAGTATTCCTTGTCTGTCATATAAAGACCACCTAAATGCTTAGAGGTGAACTTATTCACCTTTTAGGTAGGGATAATAATCATTCCAGCCTAATCAACTATATCTCTAAGAGTAAGCCAACCTGCTCTTTGTCATTTTCCCCTCGTTGGTTTCAAGGCTTGATTTTTTTCTTTTTAACTAAAGCAGTATAAAGTTTTGTCTGCATTATAAAAGCAAAGAGAGAGTTTGCAGGCACTTACAGTTGCCTGATTAATTTTTGCCTTTTTACAAAGTGCATCGATGATATTCTCATTTCAAACTTCTCACAAAGCAAGATTTGAAAATTCCCAGGAAGTCAAGGATGTGTTTATACAATTGGGAATCACTTAGGAAACTGGGAAGAGATGGTATCAGCTATCATAGCTTATGGCATTTGGTGGTGGTGGTTTGCTGCAGGAAGAAATCAGGATGGTTTTCTTCCTTTTCCCTCCTTTCTCCTCACTTCTCCTCTAGTCCCCAGGGAAGAATATGAGACAGGAAAGGGGAACAATTATGGTTGAAGAAGAATCATGGTTGAGTGTGAGGACTGGGGCAGCAAAAACTGTGGAAAACTGTAAATATGTACATATTATAGTGAAAAGAACACTGCAGAATCAGAAAGGCCTGGGATTGAATGCTTCTCTGATACAAACTTTGTGACCCTAGAGAAATCATGTCACCTCTCTAAACCTCAGTTTCCTCATCTATAATATGAAGAATACTAACCCTAACCCCCTGCCTCAGGGATGATAAATGAAATAGGCTTAAATGAAATAGTATATGTAAAGCACTTTGTAAATGTTAATGTGTTATATAGATATGAATTATGATTATGATTATGATTATGATTTTTCATGCCATAAGTCCTAGGTCCCTCAACTATAAAACAGATCTTTTTGTTGTTGTTTTTCAGTCATTTTTAGTCATATTCAACTCTTCATGACCCCATTTGTGGTTTTCTGGGCAAAGATACTGGAGTAGTTTGCCATTTACTTCTCCAGCTCATTTTATAGATGAGGAAACTGAGGCAGAGTTAAATGACTTGCTCAGGGTCGTACAGCTAGCAAGTGTCTGAAGCCAGATTTCAACTCAGGAAAATAAGATTTCCTGACTCCAGGCTTGGCACTGTATCCACTGTACCACCTAGCTGCCCTTAAAAAATTTTGTAGAAACCTTATAACCCTATTCTGTGGAATGGGTATGGGCAATGCTGGGATAGAAAACCCACAGTAAGGTGAAGGAGAATACTAGATAGCAGCTACTGGTGGTAGAATCTATAGTATTATTGCAACATGGGCAATTTAACTATAATAGAGCTACAGAATTAAAAAAAAAGAGTTGGAAGAGAACTTGGTGGCTCTCTAATCCAATTTATACTAGAAAAACAGTCACCACTGTAGCATTTCTAACAAATGCTTACTCAGTCTCTCCTTAGAAACCTCCAATGTGGGGAAATCTGCTCGTTCTCAAGGAAAAAAGGAAGGAAATAATCATTAATTAGCTACTATGTATGTGCCTGGCACTATGCTGAACACTTTTACAAATACTATCTCATTGGATCCTCACAGTGCCCCTGGGAGGCAGGTGCTGTTATTATAACCGAGGCAGGTAGGGATCATCCCCTGCCCCATGCCATACTCTAAGTCCTAGAGCCCTCAAACATGGGAAGGATCTTTTTAGAAGCCTTACGACCTTGTTGTAAGGAATGGGTGTGGAGAATGCTAGGATAACACAGCTAATAAGTGCCTGAGTCTGCATTTGAACTCAGGTCTTCCATATTCCAAGTCCAGTGCTCTATCCACTGTGTCACAAGGCAGCCTATTCCATTTTTTTGCATAGTTCTAAATGTTGGGAAGTTATGTTTTTTCCCATGATGTCAAGTGTAAATTTGTCTCTTCGCAACTTTCACTATTTTTATTGACCATGCCCTCCAGAAATAAACAGAACAAGTCTAATTACTCTTCCATATAACATCAATAAATCAATCAACAAATATTTAGTAAGCTAGTACTCTGTGCCAGGCATAGAACCATAAGATCATGGTATTCTATATCTAGAACTGGAAGGGACTTTGGTGGCCATCTAGTTCAAATCCATCATTTTTTTTTTTCAGAAGAAACTGAGTTAGAAGGGGAGGGGTTAAGTACCTTGCTCAAGGTTCCATGGTCAGAAGCTAGACACAGAACATACCTTCAAATACTGAAAAACCGTTATCATATTCCCCTGAGGTTTTATTTCTCCAGCCTAACCAATGCCTTCAACAGTCCCTCACATGGAATGAGTTCAAGGCTCTATGCCATCTTCTTGCCTTCTTTTGGATCCACTCCAGCTCATCAATGCTCTTCATAAACTCTGGTGCCCAGGGCCAAATAAGAGATTCCAGATGTGGTCTGAACAAGGCAGATGATAATTTATTTAAGTCTAATGGGAAATTTGAAAGGTCAGTCCACTGTGCTTTTCATACTTTATGACTGGTCAGACTCAGTTCTGCCCCTGTGCTCTTCCCACTTGACAATTAAACTGAAAAGTCAGGTTTGGCCACTTCACTAGAGAGTTTACTACTTGGGACTGAGGTTTTCATTGTTTCCACTGAGGTCCATAAAAGTTGTTATGGGATTAAGGTAGAGCCTTAACTTGCAGGGTCTTCCCTCAAATTTCAGGAGGAAGAATGAAACATTGAAAGAAATAAACCAAAAAACTCCCACAAAACACACAAAAAACCCCCAACAAACCCAACAAGTCACAACATCCTAGGCTACAAGGGACCTTGAAAGGTATCTAGTCTATTCTCCAACCTTACATTTGAATCATCACTGACCAATTATAATTTCAATATAGTGGAAAGAGTGCTAAGTCAAAGGACATGAGTCCTAGCCCTGTCTTACACTCAGATCACCTGTGAGATCTGAGAAAAGTCATTTAGCTTTTCTGGGACCCAATTTTTTTTTCAATTTGTAAAATAAGCAGATGGCTAGCTTCTAGCTCTGAATCTATGAATCTATATTCTTTCCAGTTTCTAAAGACTGAAAAAAAATGTCACTCTTTAACTTCCCCATTCCCTCTTCCCACCCCAAACAAGTCATTTTAATGTCTCACATTCAAGACACTCTGCCCTTGTCTCTGGCCACCTTCTCTTCTGCTTCCATGCCAACTTCCTAGAAGAACTCACCAGGTATCATTCCCTGGGTGAACTGTCATCCTGCTGCTGCTCTCCTGATTGGTTACTCTCCCAACACTATTTCAGGGAAGTCCCAACTATCCTTTACTCTACTTCCTTCCTGTAACTTACTCTTCAGCCTCCTTGCCAACACCCTTAGACCACCAGCATACCCTTTCCTATCCCCTTACTCCAGCTCCCCCATTCTGGAATATCAACTCTGCCACTGTTTCCCACCTAGCCTCACCTACCAACCCTAACAATTTCTGAACCAGTATTCCTCCTTAGCCATTCTAAGTATCCATTAAAATTTAAACTTCTTGAGGGCAGGAACTGTCTATATTTTTGCATCTGAATCCTTAGCACTTAGCATGGTCTTTGGTATATAATAGCTACTTAATACATGATAATAATTAGCATTTATATAATGTTTTAAAGTTTGCAAATATTATTCCATTTTACCCTCACAACAACCCTGGGAGGCGGGTACTATTATAATCCCCATTTTACCAAGGAGGAGGCTGAGGCAGACAGAGGTTGTGATGTGTACAGGATCATCTAGTTAGTAAGCGGCTGAAGTTGGATTTGAATTCAGGTTCTTCCCGATACCAGGTCTAGCAACTCATTGTCCAATGTGTCACCTAGTTGGTTTTGAATGATTGATTGATTGATTCATTCATTCATTCTTCCTTGTGTTAGCTGAAAATCTTTGATGCTTTGGTATGTCAATAGATCTGTTATACAACTCGCATCAATCAGTCACTTAGTCAGCAAGGGTTTATTAAGTGCTTAAGGCACTCTTCTACTAAATGCTGAGCCTTTAAAAACAACCAAAAATGAAGACAGCCCCTGCTCTCAAACAAAATACCTTCTAGTAGGGGAAAACAACACATAAAAGGGAGTGGGAAAGTAGGAGGTGGGTAGGTGAACCAAGAGGTGTAGGAACATGGGAAAGAAATTCCTGTGGAGATGAGTCAGCGGTGAAGCCTGCCCCAAAATAAATAAATAAATGAATGAAAATGTAGCTGTGGCTGGTCTGGTTCTCCTCCTTAAAATGGAGTTTCTGGAAAGAACCAGCCAATCAAAAAGAAAGGCCCCAGGGGTGAGAGGGTACTTCCAATGTAAAAGTGGAGTGAGCTTCTATCTACCCACGTAGATATAGCACTTCCTCCATCTTGACAGATAATAACTCAGACATGTCTGCCCTTCCAGTTGGACTCATGTGCATGTCTTCCCATAATACCTCCTTGGGAAGTACATCCAGTCAACATCCAGGAGTACCTCCTGATATTGTATGCAAACCTGTGGAGCTGTTCACCAGCTTTCCATAGTCATTCTACTCATATGGCTGGCCTACTGGTTTTCTGCTCGCACATTTCTATAATAACGTCCTTTAGGGCAGCTTCCCCTGTGCAATTCTTTCTTGTTAATGTGTTGTAGCCTAATCATGCATTCCTCTCTATTGTCCTTTGTCAACCTGGAAATGGTATTCTAAATATTTAACTCTCTTCTTTATCAACTTCATCATCTATCACATCAAAAAGGAAAAGAAGTTATGAAACTCGCTTAAAACAAATGCAATACAAGTTAGAAATTGCTGAGAGAACAAGGAATGAAAATTTACTGTTAGAGTGGTCCCCACAGAGAATTATCAAACAGGGGTTACTTAGTGAAAGAGTTAGGATTATAAACATTTTAATAGAGAATGTAATGGTTATTTATCACAAGTTTTTAAAACTGGAAAGGAACTATTTAAAAAAAAATTTTTGTACATCTTCTAAATTTCTACATATTTCCTCTCCAGGAAGCCATTACATTTAACAAAGAATATTTTTAAAAGAAAAAGTAGAAGAAAAAATGAGCAAAATGATCAATACATAGAAAAAAATTGAAAACATATGCAAAATTCCACACTAGTAGATCTTTCACCTCTGCAAAGGAGGGATGAAGAAGGTATCTTCTCATATCTCTTCTCTGGGGTCAAGCTTATTCTATGTTATTTTGCAGCATTCAATTTCTTTTTTAAAAAATAATTTTCTAAATTACAATGCTAAAAAATAATTTTCTACTTACATGTTTTATCACCAAATTTTCTTCTGATATTTCTTCCCTTTCCCCTCCCAGAAAACCATCCCATATAACAAGCAATGTTTACAATAAATTTTATTGATGTATTCTGTTTAAACATTACCCTGGTGTTCCTCCCCTTCTAGCAGTCTCATATAACACATAATATTTTTTAAAGAAAGAAGAGAAAAATAAGCAAAATTGACCAATACGTTGAAAAAGACTGAAAACATAAACAATGTATCACACTCACAAACTTCTCATTTCTGCTAAGGAGTAAGATTAGGAGTATTTTCTCATCCCTTCTTTGAGATCATATTTGATTTTTGGGGGGAGGGGTTAATTTGCCACATTCAATTTTGATTGTTTTGCGATTGTTCTTTCCATTTACATTGTTTTAGTCATTAAGTATATTGTTTTGTTGGCTCTGCTAAATTAATTTTGAATCATAACATACAATGATAAATAATGATAATAACTAACATTTATATAGAGCTTTAAGGTTTTCAAGGTGCTTTAACTATTATTATTTCATTTTATCCTCACAACAATCCTGTAAAGTAGAAACTATCATTTTCCTCATTTTACAGAAAAAGCAACTGAGACAGACAGCAATTAAGTGCCTTGCTTAGGGTCACATAGCAAGTAAGAACTGAGGCTGCCATTTGAACTCACGTCCAGCACTATTCACTGCTTCTCTGTATTTTTGATATTCATTATTTCTTATAGTTCAGGAATATTCCATTATATTCATATAACACAATTTGTTTAGCCATTCCCCAAATCAAAGAGCATCTACTTTGTTTCCAGTTCTTTACAATCACAAAAAGTGCTGCTATAATTATTTTGGCATATATGAAGATCTTTTTTTTCCCCTCATTAATGACTTTTGTGAGTTATGTGCCTAGTAGCGGATTCTCTGGATCAAAGGTTATGGACATTTTAGTCACTTTATTTGAATAATTCCAAATTGATTTCTAAAATGGTTATACTAATTCACAGATTCAGCAATTCATGAATGTGCCTATCTACCTAGAACTCCCCTCAATACTGACTATTCAATCTTTTGTCATCTTTGCTACTTTGCTGGGTATGCAGGGAAACCCCAGGGTTATTTTTATTTGCATTTCCTTTATTATCAATGATTTGGGGCATTCTTTTGCATGTGTGTTTATGTAAGTTGGCCATATATCTTGGATATCAAATCTTTATCTGAGTAAATTGATACAAAGATTTTCTTTCCATTTGACTACTTCCTTTCTTAGCCTAGATGTGTTCAGTTTGTACAGAAAATTTTCAGCTTCATCTAATTATTATTAAAATTATTTATTTCATTTTCTGCAACTACCTCTATCCCTTGCTGACTTAGAAAAACATTTTCTTCCTACAATCCATTGTGAAAATATATAAATATGTATATATGCATATATATACATATATAGGTACACACATAAACATCTATATACATATATGTGTACACATGCATGCATATGTATGTATAGATGTATTATATGTGTATGTGTGCATGCTCTTATTTTAACTTTTTATGGTATATTCAGGTCATGCAATCCATTTTGATTTTATTGTGGAATATGTGTAAGATATTAGTCTAAGCCTAATTTCTGCCAGACTGCTTTACTGTTTTCCCAGCAGTTCTCATCAAATGGAGAAGGTGTTCCTAAGTAATTTCTGTGTGCAGATTTATTGAACACTGAGCTACTGAGTTCCATTATTTCTGATTCTCCCTTGTTTAATCTGTTCCTTTGATTGACTGTATTTTTTTTTGCCAATACCAAAGGGTCTTGATATTTTGATGATGATATTTGATATTTTGACCAAATGCTTTATAATGTAGTTTGAGGTCTGGTGGAGAGGACCTTTCACATTTTCTAAGCCCTTCCCTTTATAAATGAGGAAATCAAGGCAGAAGTGAAGAGGGAGAGCATTCTAGGCATGATAAACAGCCAGTGCAAAGGTATAATGATGGACCTGTCTTTTACCTTCCCGAAAGAAATGGATGATACAATACATCCTATGGTTATAGTAGCTGGCAATCACTAATTGAGAGTGTAGAAAATTTGCTTCACTTTTTTATTAACTATTTCCAGGATCCCAACTTTTAGGCAATTTATTCCTAAGGATAGATGTCCTGAGACAAGTGTGGGG